AGAGCTTAGATTAAGGGCTATAAAATAAGGTACTAAACTTTCTAATAAGGTAAGTATTAGTAGAGATAATTAAGAAAAACGATCCCGAGGTGGAGACCCGACTCGCCAGCCTACTCATTATATCTATAGTATAGGTTAATATTAGTAAGAAATATCTATAGTTCTTCTTAGTTTCTATTGTATTTATCTAGGGCTGCTATCTTAGATTTCTTAATAGGTTTCTTATTTAGTATAGCTATTATTTAGCTCGTAAGCTAGTTAACTATAGCTTATAGCTTAGCTACCTACTATACGTGAACCTTAGCTTATTACCTAAGACTATAAACTATCTATCTTAGGTTTATAGCTGCTTTAGCCCTAATATCTTCGTTATTACTTAGAGTGAGCATCTCGTCGTTAAGAGCTAAGTAAGGCACTAGTCTAGGACCCTAGACTAGTCTACTAGTACTAGCCTATAACTAAGAGTAGTTATAAGACATTATAAGTCTTAATTAGGCGTTCTATTATTAATCTTCTTATTCTACTAAATCTATAAGTAGTTAAAGTGTTATATAAAATTAGGTGCTAATACTTCTCTAGACTTAATCTAGATTAGAGTAAGTAGAGTAGGTAAATAGCTCTATAAGATAGTTATCTAGTAATATAGTAGAGTAGCGTGCTTATAAGGTAGATAATAATAGGTTTAATAATTCCTAATCTATATTAAATAGACTAATAAGTATTAATCTTATAAAGTTAAGTAACTAGTAAAAAAGTATAATTTAAGTTAACTATAATAAGAGTAGATAATAAAATCTATCTATTCTTTTATTCTTATTATTTCTAGTTCTATTCTCTCTTTCCTCCCGTCTTAGCGGGGGGTTTAGGAGGACGTTAGCTTCTCTTTGTATAGTAGCCTCCCAGAGGCTATATCTTAGCGGGATGCTAAGTTACGTGATTATCGCGGGGCGATGATTATACCTGTTAGGATCTCTAGTAGTTTCCCAACTATTCATCGTTAGACCTAGGGAGAGAATCCTTCTAGTTGTTGCTTATAATATGTAGCTAGGTAAGGATTTAACTATAGACTTTAAGCTTCTTTTATAGAAAGCTTACGGACTTTAGTTAACACTAAGTCCGTTTTTATATATAAGATTAAGGTTTTTATATTATAGATTTAATTCTTAAATCCGTGATTTATAATATTTTATAAGTAATTTATAAGCGTATAATAATATGAATAATATTAAAAGATTAGTAACTAGAAACCTTATTATAAACTAGATACAAGCAGATACTCGGCAGTTAATAACAAGCTTAAACTAGACGCTAATAAAAAGAATAAAGTTACGCTATAATCTTTAGCTTATATAGATAATTTCTACTTTATTAAATAATATAGAAATTACCTAATAAACTTACAAACCTATTATTATCTATCTTATAAGCACGCTACTCTACTATATTACTAGACAACTACCTTACGGAGCTATTCACCTTACTCTGCTAGCCCTAACCTGGATCGAGTCTAGAGAAGTATTAGCACCCCACCCCGTGTAATATTAACCCCGTGTAATATATAATATAAGAGAGTAGCTCTATATATAAGGTAGCTATATAGTAGGCTAGAAAATTCTAGATAAGAGATAATAAAGATAAAAATTATATAGTAAGGTGTTTCATAACTAAACTAGCAGCCTCACTAAACTAGCAGCTTTCTTACTCTACCCTACCTTCATAGTAATATCTAGGCTGGCAAATAGGTAGAGGTTAGGTTATAGTTAGGTTACTAAGAGTTTAGGTTAGGGTTAGGTCAGGTCTTATATAATTATTACCCTAACCTAACCTATATCTAAACTCTTAGTAACCTAACTATAACCTAACCTAACTCTTAGCATAACGATTAGGTTAGGGTAGAGTTAGGTTATCTCTATAGCTAATAGAATACTATTATTATAGCTTATTAACATAGTTATATATTCTAACCCTAGTGTTTAGTAGAGGTTAGGTTAGGTCGCATAGACCTTAGGTAGAGGTTAGGTTAGGTTATAGACCTAACTTAACCCGACCTAACCTCTACCCGTGGCCCGTGCGACCACAACCCAACCCCTACTAAATACTATGGTTGGGGGTACCCGTTTGCTAGTCTACGTATAGGCTATAGGTAGAGGTTAGGTCGGGTTAAGTTAGGTCTATAACCCGACCCAACCTCTACCCAAGGTCTGTGCGACCCGACCTAACCTCTACCCGTGGCCCGTGCGACCATAACCCAACCCCTACCAAACACTATGGTTAGGGGTACCCGTTTGCCAGTCTAGATGGAAATAGATAGGCTGGCAAACGAGTCTCCACCCTCGGGATCGTTTTTTCCTATTATCTCTATTGATAATCACCTAATTAGAAAGTTTAATAGCTTATTTTATAGCTCTAATTTAGTAGTATATCTTCGTCTATAATAATAGTAGACTAACTTTAATAGGCAAGGAGATATTTAGTAACCTGCTGTGCCAAGAGTCAGGTTTCTACATTTTACTCCGATCTTAGTTATCGTCTTACCTATTAGAGTTAGTCTACCACTATATTAGACGAAAATATACTACTAATTTAGGGCTACAAAATAAGCTACTAAGCTTTCTAATTGGGTTATTATTAGTCAAGATAATCGTGATTTTGAGATCCCGATGTAGAGACCCGTTTACCAGCCTAGCCTTAACCACGGGCCTTAAGTTAACATCCACTGACTATTGTTAATTCTAACATCCTTGGTATTAACTATTTGCTGGTTATTTGTAGCGAATTTCAAAAAAAAGAAATTAATGTATACATATAATAGAGTGAGTTCTAGTTCGATAGTGCTATGTATAAGCTTGATGGGTACTCTCCACCTGTATGCACTCTGTGTTTCCCAACGTTAAAGTTCCTTAAGCTTTTGTCCAGACCTTTAAACTCTGGCCATCTAGGATCATGACCAAGTATGTCGAGCCGGAGTGATTCGCCTCTCTCAAAAATCATGCCCCCCGCCCAAAGCATGATCTCAAGCTCCACTACTTGATCTTTCTTGAGTTTCTCAACCTTGTCGTGCGGATGCCAAACATATGCTGGGGAGAGAAGCTCTAGCTTTTCATCAGGATAATCAGGTTCTTTCTGGACAGCGCGATGAGAGGCTCTGAGACGGCCATTTGGTCCAATGTACCGCATGATGTTTTCGCCTGGTATGTCCTTTTCTGCGACTTCCGGAGGAAGGTCTCTGAAGGGTATGTTGAATTGCTGCAACATCTTTCCATTCTTATCCAATTTCTGGATCACGACGTAGACATCCATGTCATCATGATCTGGCGTTGACATATATCTAGCAATGCAGTCAGCTTTTTTCCAAGTATCATGACAATATCATATTTATAAAAGATATAATCACGTCAAGTTATTCTTCATGTTCTAATAGGAATGGTCTTACAGCTTGGCTTTACTGAAGCCACATAACTCCGTGTATTTTTCGAACGTTAGACGAAACCCTGCGTATTCTTTCGGTGGGTATGACCATGCGACTGTCGCATCGTACGTTAGGGCATGTTCGTTAATTCTTGGACGACGCTGTAATGTCGATGTAAGTCCATCTAGATAGAAACTCTGCCATACGAAGTTCTCCGGTGGAAGCCTAGATATCGGGCGGTCAACTATTGATGGTTGATTGTAGCCAAGGAGGGCCAAGCGCATCCGTGGTGTAGCTTCCCAGTCGTTTTGTATGCCTTTCAAATATTTGTCAAAGAATGACTGTAGCTCATCAATGTAGTTTGGCTGGTAGATGTCATGCCATTCTTGGGTTGAGCAGATGCGCAGCCTGGGAAATATTGGTCAAATGGAAAAAGCTTTCAAATATCGTCTCGATCAGTACATACCATTTCTCAGCTGATGAAGAAAGAAAATAGCCACGGAGACTTCCTTCGGTGTGTAGGCCAGTCGAATAGCTTGCTGTCGCGTACATAGGGACGTTGATATTCCAGAGTTTAGGTCGCTTATCTTCCCAGTATGCATTCCATAGCGGGTATTTGTCAATCATGTCCTCTACATGTTCTCTGTTGTTTAGACCTATTCATTCGTTAGTGCTTCGATGGCCAGGACTGCATGTTAACTGTTGAATACCTCCCGTAAAATTGGAGAGCAGCAAACCCCAGAAGGAGTAATCTGGAATACCTCCCCTGCAAAGAGATTCACGATAGTAATCTCCTAGTCCTTCCCATGGAGCTAAAGCCTTCAAATGCGGAGGTTGCTCAGCCCCAATAAACCTAGCCCATTAGTCCAGCTATCTAAGTAGCCAAATGGTGTAGTGCTAATGATATAGGCACTTACCACTGTGTAGAACCTAACCAGGAGTTGCCAGCCATTCCCACAGCACCGTTACACCAAGGCTGAACACCAATCCATTCAATGGCGTCATGTCCATCACGACCTTCCTGTGTACCGTAAACTGGCATATCTCCTTCCGATTGAAAAGTGCCACGGGCGTCAGTATTCACTACCGCGTACCCACGCTGGATCCACTCTGCCGGGTCGGGTGCTTCCCACTTCTCTAGACCGCTAGTCCAGCTACGGGGTATCCCAACCCTCCAAGGTACTTTGTCCAGACTTTGTAGGCCTGTTCCAGTTTTACCATATATGCTCCAGGGAAGGATCGCTGGTACAGGTTTAGTGTCAGAATCGATTGGACGGAAAACATCGGCAAATATTTTCACGCCATCTCTGAGCGCAATTTCCTGGTCTTTCTCATATATCATTGCAACCGGAAGTGGGCGCCGACCATCCTCTTTAACCCACCCCTTTGGCAGAATTTTCTTGTCTTCGCCATACGGAGTCCATACATTATCTAGCTCTCGTTTCGTTGGCGTATAGAGGATTTCGATTCCTCCAATTGATTTTGGCATGTTGGCAGTGCGAACTATGTCGAATAAGCCGCTAGAAGATGGTGGCAGGGGGGCAAGGCTCCTCAATAATCAACGACGAATAACGCAGATATTCAATTCGTATGTATTTTCAAAGTATGTGCAGCAGTGTACCGTCAATCAAGTAACAGAGTAAGTTGTCTAGCCATCTTATATATAGTTCTGTCGACCACAAACAATCCTTGAGTTCAAGAGGGAATTTACGGAGTTTGAGAATTTCTCAAAAAGGCTAGTGTGGGGAAAGCTAATTCAATACATGGCGCACGTCTAGTGTAAGCTGATGAGGGGGTGGGAGAGGCCGCAAATCAGACAGTTGATGTCGGATATCGGGATGTGGAGGAGCTAAGCGTGGGTACATCAATTATCTTTGAACAGGGGTTATAAGTTGTCGCCCACAGCCATGTGACGCGTGTCGAGGACAGCTACGCATGCATTACGGGATAATATCGCACAGTTCTAGAAACCCTTTTCAAGAATTTTTCACATATTTCTTTTTAAAAATTCTGTTATTACACAAAATTCTTCTATACTATATGTTTTATATCATCATTGGAGCCGTAGCCGGGTATATGACATGTAATCCCATCATGCCAGGTGGTACTACGGACAGAACTACAATCGCTGGCTCACTAAGCGTTCATTGCTTAGTCATTCATAAAATACATTAGGATTAGAGCCGAGTTGAATTTTTTTCAAAAAGGGTTATAATTTCAATATGATAACATATATGACATTCTTCGCGTAAAGATCAACGACTAAGCTATTGAACAAGGGATGCTTCGACTTAGTGTGGGGGAGCCGAAACCATCTCCTGGGCCGAAACCTTATCCAGGTTGATGCGGGGAAGCTGATTCATAGATGCTATGGTCCTAAATCGGCCCGTGCTAGATTCGTGGAAGGGATGCGACGCACTAAGACGCTATCAGTCAGCGCACGTTTTTGTTCCAGTAGCGATTTGCACATGTAGACTATTCACTTTGGAATACTTTCTTCGCCGACCCCTTAAATGCTGTAGGATCGATCTAATTCTGCCCAGATTAATCACAACTATCATTTTGGACACAATGTTGAACAGAAAAAGACAAGATTCATTTTCTTGTTCGCAATGTAATCGAAAGTTCGGGCGCAAGGACCATCTCAATCGTCATCTTCATCGCCATACCGGGAATAAGTCGCTGCGATGCACGATATGTACTGCAGTTTTTTCACGAAAGTTTGTAGAAAAATCGAATTGACTTTAGATGGCAATTGTAACGCAGCACAGGGACGCTTTGCTCCGACATAGCCTCGTACACGGGGACCGTGCAGTGGAGGTCAGGCAGCACTTAGCCTCAGAAGGGACAAGAATGAATCAGGCGTGTCGGAACTGCGCAAAGTCCAAGAAAAGGTGTACAGCCGGCACACCTTGTGCAAGATGCCAGAAGAATGGGATAGTATGTGATGATATCCATACCAGCGCCGATGAGGATTGTCCTTCCGAAGGTGACATGAACGATAAACTTCAATCAGCCACCAGTAATTCACTTCACGGTTTTGCGGGCGCGACTACGGAGATTCAAGAAAATTTGGATGTCGAGTACTGTCTTGACAACCTAGTCGAAAGAGATGACTCTTCCTGGTCCACACAATCTCCATGCAGTAATGGAATGCCGACAAGCTTGGGAAGTGAATCACAAGGTGTAACTATTCCGGATTTCATGGCTCACAATCCGCAATTTGATTTTGGGCTCGACCACTTCCAATGGATTCACGAGGGAGCTGATCTTGAGATAAGAAACATATTGCCAGATAACATCATCTCACAAGGATTCACTCTTGACAATCATGCAGTGAATCTTCTGGCCGGATCTCTCAATGCGTTTGGTACTTCAGAAGCAAACAACGCGCTCCCTACTAGTGGCCAGGCACTTTTTGGTTTGGATATAGTGCCTGGTGCAATACAAACGTTCACTGGCCTAAATCTCAAGGATTTTGAGCAAGTACTGCAGTGTGAGAATTTTTGTCACATTGAAAGTATACCAGAGTCCACAAGCTCTAAAGTTCAGCAGTTCTTTGCATTGCACCGAACCGCTGGTTTTCCCGAATGTCCGTCTGTCCACATGATACACGCCTTTGCTGAACTATATTTCGAGTTTTTTGACCATAACTTTCCCTGTATCCATAAACAACAGCTACAGGGTGGACCGACATCTTGGATTCTATTGGTGGCTGTTGCATCTATAGGATCTCAATACTCAGCAATTGAGAACGCATCTGTTCATACGAAATGCCTTCAACATCTACTTGAAAAGGCCATCCATGATTATGTTAGTACACAATATATTTGTTTTGTCGAACGAAATCTAACGTTGATAGTTGCCTACGCGTTGTAGTGATATCACTATAGACTTTGTCCAGAGTGTCTTTATTAGCCAAATCAATCTTTGCTGTGAAGGGAAGAAAAGTGCACATTTAAGGCAAGAGTGTCAAAGAAGCTTGCTATCTACCTTGATAAAGCAAGTGAGTGACGACGCAGCTTCACGACGGAAAAAGTACCACATGACTCAGCCCAGCATCGAGGAAGAATGGACAGTCTGGTTGAGCGCTGAGATATTGACAAGACTCAAATATTGTGTTAGTCGTAAGTACACCAAATGTTCTTACTCCCTTTGCGCTGATTAAGCTAGTAGGTTTTGAATGCCTACAATTCGCACTATTCCATTTGAAACCGCAACATTTTACTGGGGATTACACAAGACATAAGATTTCCGCAGAAGATCTGTGGAGCGCTACAACAGCTGAGGAATGGAATTCCCAACGCTCACCGGCAATGCATGATCCGTTGCGGTCTCCCTTCGAGGAAATTGTACTTACCAGTGCTTCGATTGTTGAAGAACGCCTTGAAAATCTTCAAACAGCATATCGAACAGCACTATGCGCTCGCCTACAAGATTGTTTCCTGGAAACAATGGGAAGATCTTCGCTTTCGACATTTACTAATCGCAATGGATTTGAAGATGTGAAGCGCTCGTCCTACCGTTCACCACTTGTCGATCGCCTGCTCGAATACATTTTGGAAGACAACTTAGCTTCAACCTACCGACCTTACTTCCAGAGTGACTGCTCGCTTCATGTATTATCAATTCTCCGACACGTTAGCCTGACAGCGGTCTATGCATTCTCAGGCTGGGAAGCAGATCGTTCTGAAACACAAGAGGCGAGAACATATCTTAAAAATTGGATTTCGAACGACATGTCTTCAGTGCGACGATGCCTTTGGCATGCGGCATGTGTGTTTCGAGATTTGAGGAACAAATCACATTTCTCGTGTTTCGATCCATTCTTCATTTTGATTGCTACGCTTGTAATCTGGATGTATTGTACTCTCAGTTCTGGAATTGTTTCCTACACGGATGAGGCGATTTGTATACACAGAGAACCTGCGCGGATTGATAGCTTTACAGACCGTGAAGCGCTTCAGCACTGGCTACAACACTGTTCTTGCCGCAAGATTCATCTGGCAGGTCTTGGTACCTTGGAAGGACCTGAGGGCGCTAAGCGGGTAATCAAGGAGTACCGCAACATACTCAAATCGAGGGTAGGGTGGTTTGATATCCGTGATGCGCTTGCTTTCTTGGCGGAGCAACTGCTTGAAGATAGACTACCTCGCCGTCGAGACTCTGAAGAGTAGACCACATATCACATAATTCATACTAAGCTCTACATGATCATTTGTTTTGATACAAATGCATCGTCATATTGCCTCTTCTCTTATTTTAATTCTGGGCAATCATCAACAATAGATGTATTCACAGAGCGCCCAAGCATTTGTTGAAAGTAATAGGACAGTCGCATGCCTATAGCAGCCAGAGTGAAGAAAACTTTACCCCAGATCGTGCTAGCATCGACAGGCTAGATGTTGGGTTAGCATGCTGAACTTATATCATACGCGGAGAGTACCATACCACAACTGTTGTACCTCCACTTTTTCTGACCCAATTAAACGCCCGTGGAATCATCTCAGCTTCGAACTCCGTACAAGCCCTATCTATTGCACGTTTTTCTACCTTACGGCTCGGCCCAGAAAAGGAAGAAAGTTGTCGAAGCAAGTCAAGGGCGGTTGCGGTGTCGCGAAGAGCTGTATTACCCCCCATACCACTGCGGAAACAGTCAATGCTCCAAAATCTATGGTTCTGATGTGGCTTGCAAAGCTTACCGGGTCGGCAGCATCGCATGGATGGCATCTCCCAATAACCAGATGCGGCTATCGCCTTTCTCCGGTTCTTTCCTAGACCTAACTTTGGCTCTCCAACCTTGCCCTGGATTTACACTGACCATGCTCCTGTAGACATAAATGTCAGAATCCTGTACAAGTTCAATTATATCGTGACTGCAAGTGTGAGTGAGCGATTTAGTGCTTCAAGAACATTCTGGGAAGATGCGTACTATTCCGATGACCATTCCGATAGTATTTCTCTTACAAGATCCCACTTGGCCTTCTGCGATAGACTTGACAAATTTTCCGGGCACGTGGAAGAGGGAACATGAAAGCCAAACATCGAAGATGAAACATCTTCATTTCGGGAATCCGCAGAGTTCGAGGACTTTGGCAAATAGGCTGCCAGCATTAGATGAGGCTATCGTGAATCTGAAGATGTAACCTTACCACAGTAATATAAAGTTTTCCCATCCGCGAAAGTCAGGATTGGTTTTTCGAGGATTTTTGGGTTAGTTTCTTGAAGCCGTTGAGCAGAAAGATTGCTCTTGGCTGCCATACTAGTGTAATCATTCAGTTGGACAAGATTATTCAAGCCAATCTGTTTGTTGATCTGGCTGTATGTTAGCAGGTACTCCATATATTTACCAATACCATACCTTTGAATGACTACCATCGGCCCCAATCAGAATGTCACAGTGGTCATGGGATCCATCTTTGAACCAGACCCTGACTCTCTCTTTCGGAGTGCCGAAGTCTACGATTTCGTAACGATCAAATTCCTTGCCATATTCGAGCTTTCCAGAGGCAGCTACAGGTGCCGCCAAGGCATCTCTCAAAATTACGCGGCTTATAGGTGCAGATTTGTTGTAAGTAGGGAAAATGGTCAAGTCCAGCATAGTTTCAAATTTCTCGTTTCTGACAACCGGAGCCTCGGATTTGTTGCCGCTGGCTGGCCCAAAGTTTTGCACGATCAGGTCCAGATTTTCTGGGGATAGGCATGCTCGCATGCCTTTCAAAGCATCAGCACCTAGCCTGATCTGGTATCCTTCGCGTTTGCTGTTTTCCGGTAGCCGTTCGTATAAAGAAAAATCGATGCCATTGCGTAATAGCCCATTTGCAAGGCAACTGCCTGCAAGACCCCCTCCAATGATCACAACACGGAAATTTTGTGGATCGGTCATTTTTCGATTTGGATACTTGCTGTGTCTCTTCTGGGCTCTACTTTAAATATGAATATTTTCCCATCTCTATCACACGTCGGATAGGTCGATTGACCCTATCAATACCTTCGGATGTACATCGGCGCCACCACCTCTTCTGAGGCTTGCATTGCATTTTACTAGGAAGTGAGGTAAACCCAAATCGGTATAGATCAACTCTCAAAGTGCCAGCTTGCAATGGTAGTTCTCATGCGGTCATTCTCCACCCCCACCCCCACCCCCACCCTTCCCACGTGTTTCCATCTTCCTGACCAATAATCTCAAATTTTTCATACCTTTGCGGATATACACATGCAAAGGTATCTCGCGCTTTGCGAAGATATACAGGAAACCTTGTGACAGCTTTTCACTAGCGTTATAGATATCCTCCACCACCCCTGGGTATATTAAGATTAGGTGTTCTCGGGTCTTGATTAAACGTTTTACTTTTATTATTGTGACATCATTTTAAAGTGCTTCTTGGATATTCATTGCGTTTTGAAAGCTGCTACCTAGCTTCGATCAACAGGATTATCGAAGAAATGGCATCTCAAGAAGAAATAACGACCTTGGAGTGGTTTGGTAAGGGCTGCACAACTTCTTTGGAGTATTCAAAGCTATTGATGCTGATGAAATTCAAGGTGCAACCACTTTTAGACTCAAGACCAGAGGACTCACTATCTTTCTCGACACATGGCTCGATCGTCCGGCTGCACTTCCCTCATATATCTCTATCGCCGATGTGCGTGAAGCAGACTACGTCTTTATCTCACATGCTCATTTTGACCAGTATGTTTTTTTCTGTTCTGCAATATAAAATTTTGTTAGTTGACACTTCTGCCTAGCCTACCAGGGGCCGACCGATTGGCCTTGCAAACGGGCGCCATCATTGTCGCAAACTGTGAAGCAATCAATTTGCTAGCAGCAGCAGGTGTACCTGAAGATCAACTGCTAAGAGTGAGTGGGGGGGAACGAGTACCACTTTTCACAAAGAACACCATTCAGCAAGCAAAATCAGGCAAGTGTCCACTTAGACCAGGGCCTCCAGGTGCTCCACCTACACCACATCCATCTCTTGCCGCGGCCATAGCCCATATCTGGCCGTCGCTACACTGTTTGATGCCGGGTGGCCCAGACTTTCATCCTGAAGAGATAGACAGTGGCGAAGTCTTTACAGGAGAAGCACATCCGTGTCTATGCACTGTAGATATCAATCGGGGTATGAAGTATGGTTTATTCAAACTAAACGATTCAGTGCCCCAAGAAAAAATGGATGCTGGCATGACTTCTTTCTTGAATTACATCGCGGATCGCCAAAAGAATGTCATGTCTCATCATGATGGTGGACAGTTAATGGTGAATTTTCAGATCGGCGAGAAGGGTATATTATGGAGCTCACATTTAGGCGCATACGAGGGCATTATGAAGTCGATCGAGCCGAAGCCAGAAGTGGCCATCATGGGCATCGCTGGTAGGGCGAACTTGAATGGAAGACCGTGGGATGGCTCGGCGGCACAATTTGTACTTCGTGAGGTTCAGTGGCTTAGGCATCCGACAACAGTGATTTGGTGCCTCCATGACGAAAGGTGCGTTCAAAATCTTTGATCAGAAATAACGCTTACACGTAAGATACAGTTGTATCAGGCCGTATCGCATCAACACAAAGGCAGCAACTGAACTGGTTGAAACACATTCCACGTCAAGAATTCTCGACTTAAACCACTCGCAAGCTTATGGATTTCGTATTTAACACTCAGTAGCACTAGTTATTAGTAAAATACCTGTCAAATAATAGCAGCAGAAGTTGTAGAATCTAGGGGTTTTCTAGAGCATCTAGATTCTGTGTACAACCGCTACAATTATGAAATCTTCGTAATAGTTAGATTTTTAGATTCTAATCTATGCTTGAACCTTAATAGAACTAAGATGGAATATACTATAATTACTTAATATAAGGCGTTAAATAATACGTTGTTAATATTAGAGAATACACTCTACATATATTTTAAGAGTATAGCTCGAGTGGAAGTAATATTAGACTTCTGGTGCCAAGCTTCTTGTTAGTTAGTTTTCGCAGATAGGGAGACAGTGTGCACTAGACAGTAACGTAGGTAAGTAAAATGTTATATTATACTTATACTTAGAACTTAAGTTAAATATATTAAGCTATAAGGGCTTAATGCCTAATGCTATATACTAAGTAAGTATCGTGCTTATTAGTGAGCACTATAGTGCCAAGCACTGCTTACTAGTAAGCGCTTATTATTAAGTAGTTACGTAATAACTATTCCTAAAGAGTATGCGTTGTTTCCTACGGCTATTCAGCCGTCTTATAAATTACTCGTTAAATTAGACTGGCAAACGGGTACCCCCAACCATAGTGTTTGGTAGGGGTTGGGTTGTGGTCGCACGGGCCACGGGTAGAGGTTAGGTCGGGTCGCACAGACCTTGGGTAGAGGTTGGGTCGGGTTATAGACCTAACTTAACCCGACCTAACCTCTACCCATAGCCCGTGCGACTATAACCTAACCCCTACTAAACACTATAGTTAGAATATATAACTATGTTAATAAGCTATAATAATAGTATTCTATTAGCTATAGAGATAACCTAACCTAACCCTATTACCTATAGAGATAATCTAACCTAACTCTACCCTAACCTAATTATTATACTAAGAGTTAGGTTAGATTATAGTTAGGTTGCTAAGAGTTTAGGTTAGGGTTAGGTTAGGGTAATAATTATATAAGACCCGACCCAACCCTAACCCAAACTCTTGGCAACCCAACCATGACCCAACCCCCACCCATTTGCCAGCCTACGTTAAATAAACGTAACGATGAAATGTCCTTCACATTCTGAGGCTGGTCGTAACAGTAGCTTAGATCTCTAATACTGTTTACCTTACTAATGTTACACGGGGTTTGGATCTATACTTCTCCGTCCTGGTCCGCACTAAGGCAGGCGAGTATTACGCTAGTGTTCCGTGAGAGTTTGTCTGGCGATGCAGTGGAGTGGTGTGCTTGAATAGAAGGTAAC